GAAGTTTTTTATGGTAATGGTGGTGGGGCACTGGAACACGTTGCCCAGAGAGGTGGTGGATGCCCCATCCTTGAAATCATTCAAGATCTGACTGGACCGGGCTATGAGTACCTGAGGTACTGAGGTACTCACAGTCGGTGTCCCTGCTCATTGCAGGGGTGTTGGACAGAATACCCTTTAAGAGTCTCTTCTAACTCAAGATGATTCTATGAGTCTAAACTACAGGCATAACTTCTCATCCATTTGCAGAAGTTTATCTGCTTTGGTTAATCCAAAGACAACAAAATACTTCTGAAAGGAGACTAATATAATCTCTGTGCTCCAGTGAGGGAAACTGAGGCACTGAGTGATGAAGTCAGTGATTCAAGGAAGCATGAGGGCCCATTGCATTTTGGGCATTAGGTGCATGTAGTCTTACCAACATGGACCCCATAGCCTGGTGCAGCAAACTCTGCCATGGAGATAAACTCACCAGAGGCATTCCTGCTGAAATGGAGAGGCAGGTTTCCTTGGGGCTGAGTACAAAAAACACCCTGGCAATCAGTAGTAGGTGGTGTTGCACCGACATGTCAGAGAAAAGCTTGTTTGTGCCAAATACATTGGAGAAATTATTTTTGGAATGTTCACTGGTGTGAAGATGTGTCTCCAAAATAGTGAGAGGAGCAGAGGAACTGTAGTGATGTTCTGGGTATGTGCCAGCTGTCTGCATTAGAGAGAAGAGTGATGGAGCAGGAAGGAACATGGGTGCATTTACTTCTCCACGTTTTTCCTTGAATCTCTTTAAAAAATCCTGCTATAGATGACAGTTTCCCAACAAAGGGTGGATGGAAGATGCTGGGTGGGAGATGAGGTCTTTGGACTATATGGAGCATAAGAAAACCAACTAAATCCAAGGGATTTGGGTGATTCCTGAACCTTTTCTCTTTGTTCAGGGAGGATCAAGGCACTCTCTGGATATGGGTGAGCAGAAGGGACGTCCAGCTACCTAGCAGTTCTGTCCTAGGCACCAAAAGGGGGAAGGAACAGGGATTAGGGGTTGCAGCCCCCCTGTGTCCTTCCTCCAAACTCCCCCTGAACACACGGTCCCTGGCAGCACGATGCTGCAGCTGCTACCAGAAATGCAGGCAAATCTGATAATGGGGTGTGGGTGGGAAAAAACTCAAGAAGAAAAAGAGCTCTCTGTAATATGTGGGTTACTCTCTGAGAGTGGCACTGCTGTTCTTCCAGGCAGCAGCAGGCTGAGAGGCACATTGGGAAGGCAGGTGACCAGGAAGCAGAGAGCTGCCTACTCCAGCAGAGATAGGGATGCTGTTTACAATAAAAGAGAGACGGGCTGAAGAGAGGCCACTGGGGAGATCTCTATGGAGACATTTCACCTGCTGCAATGGGTGCCTTTGGGGATTGGCATTGGGTCTTTTGAAGAAAAATGCCTTGCATGGGCATGGCAGGATACACGCTGACTGCAGCAAGGTGAAGCTTTCCAGGCCTGCTGTTCAGCAAAGAGAAAATGGCACTGAAGCATTGCTGAGGTTGGGATCCAAGCCATAAAAGCTAAGATATTCAAAAGATGCAGGTCAGCTGTTTGCTCTCAGAAGGGGCCCAGTGTTCAGGTATAGGGGAAAGCAGGGAGAGGAGGCTGTATTTCCCTGGGCTGAGAACATAGAAGCTTTCCTCCTCCTTTCCTCGGCAGAGAAGGACCTGGGGGTCCTGATGGACGAGAGACTTAACATGAGCCAGCAGTGCGCTCTGGCAGCTCGAAAGGCAAATGGTATCCTGGGCTCCATCAGGAGAGGGGTGGTCAGCAGGGACAGGGAGGTGATTGTCCCTCTCTACTCAGCTCTTGTGAGGCCCCACCTGGAGTACTGTGTCCAGGTGTGGAGCCCTCAGTACAAGAAAGACATTGAGATTTTGGAAAGGGTCCAGAGGAGGGCGACTAAGATGATCAGGGGGCTGGAGCACCTCCCCTATGAGGACAGGCTGAGGGAGTTGGGCTTGTTCAGCCTGGAGAAGAGAAGGCTGCAGGGTGACCTCATTGCAGCCTATCAATACCTGAAGGGAACCTACACCCAGGAGGGGAGTAAACTCTTCAAAAGGGCTGACAATAGCAGGACTAGGGGAAATGGATCCAAGTTGAAGGAGGGAAGATTAAGGTTGGATGTTAGGGGGAAGTTCTTCACAAGGAGAGTGGTTAGGCCCTGGAACAGGCTGCCCAGGGAGGTTGTGGATGCCCCGTCCTTGGACGTGTTCAAGGCCAGGTTGGACGGGGTCCTGGGCAACCTGATCTGAATGTGTATGTTTGGTGGCCCTGCTAGGCAGGGGGGTTGGAACTACATGATCCTTGGGGTCCCTTCCAACCCGGGTGATTCTGTGATTCTGTGATCTGTGATTCCAGGCTGCTGTTCTCCCCCAGGTAAAGTGCTAGATACATGATTTTAGAAGAAGATGTGACATGGAATAACAGATCCTACAGGGCCAAGTCTGGGCTGTGCTGCATGTGCATTTTGGATGGTCCTGCTTGAAGGAGGCTGGGATGGAGGAACTCAAGGCTGTGGTTTCCAGAGGTACCTTTGAAGTAGAGCAGGAGGGAGAAGGGAAGTGAAAGCATAGAGGCAGATTTTTCATCCTCTTGTCCTAGAGCTGGGGTGTCAATGATGGTTATGATGAAGTGATGGTATGTGTTGATTGTGCTCATGTGCCAAGTAATGAATGCATCACACAGACATGGAAATCACCGAATCCACCTAGCATAAACAAAGGAAATAGAGAAGTGATTTACTGTAAAATTAATGAAAATGCAATCTATCTAAGAAGAGAAACGCTCAGACCACACTTTGGACTTTGGGGAGAGTCAGTAAGACAGAAATGGGAGTGGGCCAGAGAAAAAGGTTTCTTTGCAGCCTTGGGAGTAGGTGGTAGACTGATTCATTCAGTGCCACCCTCCCTGTGGTCTCTTTTCCCAGGGAATGGCCAGCAAGCCCAGGAGAATAGCCCTGGGGAAAGCTGGCTGTTCTTCACGCCTGTGTGTGCACAGCCATGGAGAACCACTGGTTTGGGAGTGCTATTGTCACCTGGGGATACATGAGATCATGGAGCTGCTTGCTTTGTTGCAAAACTGTCTGAGCAGCAGAGCAGACCAGACAGTGCCTCCCTCTCCTCTTTTATCCATCAATTTCCTTCTTTTGAGTGAGGCAAAATTTCTCCAGATGAGTTCTAGCAGAAATCAAAAGGGGAGCAAAGCCTTGAGAGAGAAAATAATTAATTACAATTATCATAGTTTTCCATTAACTTGGCTGAATAGTAAGTATAGACTGGGTTATTTGCAAGATTGAAAAGAGGATGTGCTGAAGTGGGCAACGGAGTTTAACTATTTCTCCTAACATATGATACACAATTTTTCAGAAGGAGAAAGATGCTGCTGTCATTTAAATCAAGTCTGGTTGATATTCAAGTCTGGCGTCCAAAGGAGAATTACTGTGTTGAGGCTAAGCTCATTTTTCTTGAGATATTTTCTGTGTCTAATTGGATAGTTTCTTGGCAATAGGAGATAAATGAAAGAGTGTGCATTTGTTTAAATGAGCATAAGACAGATAAGGATCAAGAGGAACAGTGGTGGCACTCATATCAGTCATATGGATCCCTTTTGTGCTTTTAACAGGAGACTGTCACTTCATCATCCTTCTCTTTGCATTTCTCTGACTCTTGCCATCTGAATTCCAACCCTTACCATTGCCTTTTAGCCCTCCTGTCTCATAGAAACTATCTGGTCAGGATAAAAAACAAACACATAGGCACACACAAGAGAAATCACCAAAAACCCAGATCCTTTCCTTGCATTGGTAATGCCTGAAGCTAGAGGATGATCAGAGCTTATCCTTCCTGCTGTTCTCTAGTCTGAAGAAAATTGCTTCTCTAGGCCCCCCATAACACAGCAACTGTCCACATGGTATTCACAAGGGAATTTCCTTCCAGTCCCAGCTGTGGAGGCTGTCACACAAGGGACATCAGCACCAGTGGAGAGATGGTCAGAGCAGAAGCAGCAGTGGGAGGTGCCCTTGAGATTAGAATGGCATTTGGAGAGCATTAGATTTGATATGTTATAGTCATGTTGTATAGCTCAGATGTCCTGTGATTTTCAAGTGTTTGAAATCTCCAATAGATCTTCATTCTTACCACAAGTACTGTCCTCTAGGCTCTTTCCCTTTGGCCTATTGTGAAGAAAAGCTCCATGGGGGGACAGAGAGGCATGAAAAAATGGCTAGATTTGAATGGCTAGACTATTTCATGAGCAAAGCCAAGCAAGAGCAATAGGCCATGCTGATTCACAGCAAAGGCATGACCCAGGAGATCTACTCACCAATAAACTGAATTACTGATCTGCATTTTCCCTGAAGAGTCACTTTTCTGAGCATAAAACCTTCAGAAGTGACAAAATTATGTAAACTAGATGATTGATAGACCAAAGGATATTTAAGTTATTTTCAACATTATGTTTCTTTTGTGAAGTGATGCCAGCTACTAACATAGCGCAACTTCTTCTGAAAATGCTGGATAAATGCCTGCTCTTACTGGTTTTCCACGCAGCTGGAAAAACTTCACTGAGTGGAAAAGTCCCTGGGCAGGCAGCTTATATCAAAACAGATAATCTTTAGACACCCTATGAACACAGTCTGACTAGATCTTGAAGGTCTTTTCCAACATTAATGATTCTATGGTTCTATGAACACACACATCTTTGGAGATTTTTCCAAATCCAAGATATAACTGGAAAAAGTGCTTTGTGGGGGACCTAGCAGTGCTTGCTAAGAGGTCCTCAGCAAAGGTTGGGGAAGAACTGGGCTGATCTTTATGAAAACATTCCTATAAGTTCCTTGGCATTGTGCTGGCAGAACATGAGAGCTCATTCCTTCTCTTGAAGGACATCTTTGGTGCTTTGAAGGCAATTTGCTCCCCATCCAAAAGATCTCCTTGCTGCTCTGTGCAGTCATGCTGAGGTCCTCTGGAATCACCCACTCACCCACACCAGGACTTTGGTCTTATAGCTGTATAGGGAAGGCAGCAACATGGATGTGAGCTTGCTGCTTGCATCACAGAAAGGCAAGCAGGTCTTGGGGTCACTGTGCCTCCTCCAAGGACAGGCTGGCCTGAAGGATGGATGTGTGCTGTGGGAACAGAGATGGCAGGATCTGCTGTGACTGCAGTTGTAGAGACATGACCCTGGATCCTCATGCATATCCTGCCCTGCAAGATGCTGAGTTGCTCAGCCTACTCAACCTGTAGGGAACTGCTTCCAGCAGATAAGATGATTCATGAAAGCACTATTTTTTATTTTATTCTTTGTTTTCAATACTCACAATACCAGATATAGTTTTGTCAAAGCATTTTGGTAGCTCCATAACCCAGAGAGCCTTGAAGAAAAATCTGCTTTGCTAGTTCAAAACAAAACCATTGATTCTGAGGCACAAGGGAATACATGGAGAGGCTATATTTAGTAGTCCTAATGTAGTGTAGTTGTTTTGTTCATTTAAAAGTAATTTGGCATTAAATATCATTTCTGTGCATAGCATGGAAAAATGGATGCCAGGATTCTTTTTCAGTACAGAAAACCTTAGATTAATTGACCAAAAATTGCTGCTTGCACATAATCTTTTATTTCCAGACCATCATATTTTCTAAAAACATACACAGAAACCTGCATTGAATTGTAATGGCTCTGGACTAGCTCTTGTAATGAAGCTGAGATGGTCTGTTGACCAAATCAACTATTTAATCAGCCTGTATTTATATTACAAGAAACTACACTGTAGTGTGATAAATTCACCATCTGGTCACTTACTGTTCCACACATCTGTATTTTATTATCAGTTTAGACTGTAATGGTGGGATTCATCCCTTCTTTGTTTAGCAAATAGGTGTTTAGTCTAAGTCATGCTTCCCAGTAATCCATAGAGGCATCTTCAACGAGCAGTTTAACCTCTCCTTCCCCTGCTAACACCATTTATCTTGGGATGGGATGAATTGCTCTTTAGAAATACTTCTTTCTCTCTCCATTGACTTTAGAGAATACAAGGATGATTGGCCTAGACCAGGCAGCATGGGAATAAATGGGCTTGGGTTGTATCAACATCTTCTCTGGCACTGAGCGCGGTGAATGTGAATAGGTCTGTTAATATCTACAGAGAAAGATGCTTTACGTGGACCTAGTTGGGCTCACACTGCTAAAACTGAAAGCATACAGCAAGCAACCTAGAGGCTCATTTTAGATACTTGATAAGAGCTTCACTCTCAAACTCAGTGGGAAAAGCCTCACTGATTTCTGCCCAGGGCTTTCCCAGATTCCAGGGATGCTGGGTGCTCCCCGTTCAGCTGCTGGAGGAGGGGGGTTGCCTATATGAGTGTTTAGGACCAAGGAGTCTAAATTTGGCCCCATTATGGAATCATTTCCTGGCAGTTTTCCTTTTGTTGTGTCTCTCAATGCAGAATATCTCCTCAATTTTCTATATTTACCTTCCTTCCCTCCTTTTGTGGAGTGCATTGTATAAGACTCTGGCTATGACAATGTCCTTCCCCCCCCCCAGGAAATGCTCTGAGCATCATATCGTAGTCATCGCTGTTTGGTGCAATGAAGTCACTTTCAGGGAAAAGTTTTGCAATGCATGCAGGGCTGGCTTCACCTGGGGATGGGCAGCCCTGTGTGGGAACTGCAACCAGACAGGGCACATGGGGAAAACCTCTGCAACACATGCAGAGCTGAGGTCTCCTAAGCAGGAGGAGTAAGTGGAGTTCCTCAGAAGCAGCTGGAGTCAATGCTTTCCCCAGGAGCATGTTGTATGGGAAGTAAGATTACCTGGAAAGCACACAGCTCTGAGCACTTACAGCCTGCATTCTTCTGGCTGTCACAGTACCACCTAGTAGGAAACAATTGCCTCAGTAAAATATAACAATAGCTTTTCATTAGAAGAGTCTGATTCTTACTTTCCATTGCCGTCGGCAAGCTAACCAACAAAATCATTTGGCAATGGTCCTTGTTCTTTAGAACCAGCAAAGGCAAGAATGAACACTGGGTCCATGAGCTTGACTACCATGGATCTTGTCCTTGGACATCAGAACCATTACCTTAAGGCAAAACTAATAGAGGAAATATATGGCACGTGACCTTGGCCACAATGAGAATTTTACTGAGCTCATTTGGCTCATCATAAAAAGTTCTCATCCTCCAAGGAAGACCTGTGGTAAAGCCTCACCTGGCCATGACTGCTCCTTCCCTCTATGCATTGGTCTTGCCCATGCTGGCTGCTGGCTCTGGCAGTGCCAGGCAGCTCTCAGAGCATTTCAGCTAGGACAGTAAATAACACAGGCCATTGGAAATGCAGAGTTCTCTGTGGTGGTGGTGACTCTCACGCAGCCCCCAGTTTCCATTAAAGGAAATTTACAGTTTCATCAAAACGATGTTTGTCCTGCAGAGCACCATGCAAGATTAGGAGTGATCTGCTACCTAGGCTGAATGGAGATCCTGAACAAAAAAAACAAACAAACAAAAAAAAAAAACACAACAAAAAAAACAACACACACAAACAAACAAGACACAACAACAAAAAACCCTTTCCCTAACAGTGAAGATAGATACATGGATAGATTGAACTGCAGTTACATTGAACCTTGTTTACATCCAGTGATTCATTTCATGAGACTCATGACAGACTAGTAAAATATCTCCTGCCACTAGAGCAGACAGTAGCTGCTCTTCCCTGTTTCAATAGTCTAAAATGTTACATCTGCAGCTGTGTATACATTTCAAAATTTGGCCTGTCATTCTTTATCTGAGCACATCTGCTCAAATGTGCTGACCTGGGTTCCCACTAGGGAGGTACATCCCACAACTGGTGTGGGATAGGGCTGCCCACAGATAGGGCTTCCACTGGCAGAACCAGTTGCATCCAGGCTATAGGAGGAATCAATCTATTCCAATGAACAAAGAGAGCTTCTGATGCAGCTGAAAACAAGAATTAGCCTACTTAGTTTGGAGAAGCCCAGAGGCTGAAGTACAGGCTTGTCACTCAGTTTTCCATCTGGATCAGCAAACTGAGCTGAAATGTAGCTTCTCTATGAGAAACTGTGCCTTCCTCTGCAACCTCAACAACAGCAAATTGAACAATGCTTTGCATTTGTTGCCAAATCCTATTGTAGAACAGTTTATTCTTGTCTCTGTGAATGCACTGGCCTTCTCCGTACTTCTGCAGAGCAAGTTCCATCTACTAGCAGTGGCACCAGTGCCATCACAGGCTGCCCATGTTTTTAATACTGTGCCTTCTCACTTCTTACAAGCAAGACTTGGTGTGATGATGCAATAAAGATACAGATGCTGGTGCAGGGAGCCTGTGCTCCCTCCTGGGCAGCCTTCACTGTGCTGGTGCCCAGCATTCCAGGAAAGCCAAGAACCAGTGCTCCTCAGAGCACACCCAGGTGGCTGGTCAATGCTGCACACTGAAAAAAAACCAAACAAACAAAAACAACAACAACAAACAAACAAAAAAAAACAACAGCTCGCCTACCCCTTATGGATTCCTTAGCCAGTTTAAACTCAAAATGTTTCTGTCAAGAGCAAACTCAAAAAGCTAGTAGCTCTATAGATAGGCCAGGGAAGTTTGTAGCTTTCTCTCATAGAAAAGTTACTGATCATGGACAGAAGCACTACATTGATTGCAGATTATTCACATTGCAACAAAATTGAAGTTTAGGTATTTGTGGGATGAAGTAAGTTCCCACACAGCCTGATCAGTACCTCAGCCAAGTCCTGGGCCAGTTCCTCTAAACAACCCTCTGAAATTCCCAAAGCCATGCTGGCTGAAACTAGCACTTCACCATGTGACCTCCGTGAAGGCACAGGGCCACTCTGATGCAAGTTCCGCGAAACCTCAAACCATTCCTAAACTTCCATATTGATATATTTCCTTGTTCCAGTGGTGCATAAAAGAAACAAAGTCCAGAAAGCCCTGAGGCTGTCTTGTGAGACTTAAATCTATCAGGTTTTTTGTTAGCTCAGCACCTGTACTGTGCACAGGTTCTGTTGAGCATCTAAGAAAAGATGCCCAGTATTTGCTGGCTGATGCTTTCAAAGCCAGGGAGGGAGTAGTTGAAGACAAATTTCACCATACTAAGTTTGTGGGGATTCCATCACAATGACAGATTTCTCATTTTTCTTCTCAACTGCACGTGTGAGCAGTGGTTCCCATTATATCTTGGTCCATCTTGGTTTCCTGGAATAGCACCTCATCAATTTTACATTGCAATAGGCTAACTCTCATCATCCCCATCCCATGCATTTGCTGATATTTCATACCTTTCTGCTTACACAAAGTAGCTCTGATGCTCCTGCGTGCACTCAATGGAACATTCTTCCTGGACAGGGATTGTTTTAGGATGCAGTTGCCACACAAAACTTCCTCTTCTCTGCTACATAGCAGACAGCCACATCTTTCGAGTCTTGTCTCAGAGTAGAGAGAATAACCTATGCAAACATCAGTATAACTTGTTACTAATCTGGTTCCTAAGAGTTTTTGCCCAGAGTTCAGAAGAGCACAAATCCTGCAGATCTGCTGTGTGCCTGCTCCTGGGTAGGCTCATATACTGTAATTTAGCCACTACTGTCTTTCAACTATCAGTGCCAGATCTTTAGTATTATCTCTTTCTTCCTTCATTCATCTGGGTTTTTCTTCACGCTCTCAGGTCTTCCATGGTCTGTCTCCTTTTGCATTCGGATAAACATTTCTTCATCGTTTGTATTCCTCACTTCCCATCCAGGGGTACCTCAGCTGGAGAGGTAACACTCCATCCTGGGCTATGCATGTGTGTAAGTGATGCCACAGCCACCTCATGCTGTTGTTCTCTCCCTCTGGGCACCTGCTCATGGCAGCTTGGGCCAGGTGGAAGCAGATGTCACAGGGAAGCCACAGTGGTGGACCCTGGCTGGCAGAAGGAAGTGCTGAAGTAGCGCAAAAGACAGATGTTGTTTGCAAACAAGAGCCTCTGGAGGCCAAGCATACAACAAGCACCAGGAGCACTGCATCTGCCTCATTGCGTCCTCTTCTGTCTACCAATAGACCCATGGGACCCAGGGCCTCATTTAGACCTTCCCCTTATCATGTCTCGAGCCAGCAGTTCTGTTGTCTCCTTCATCCCTTCCCTGCTCCACCAGTCCTGAAGAGTTGGTGGGTTGGTCTTTTTTTTTTTAAAAAAAAAAAAAAAATCTTAACTGTTTTTTGGGGGGTTAATAGCAAAGCTTTAAAGGTTTGCAGAAGTTTCTACATTTTTAAGTTCCTTCTCTCACCCATAATACATCTCAGTGGATATGTTTGAGTTAAAAATAGATAAATACATGACTTTCACCAGCATCCAAAATGCAGCCCACAAAGAGAATTCCTCAGCGTTAGCAGTGCTCAATGCCGTGGTTACAATTAATGCTGAATGCATGATTTGGGATTATTACTCAAGCACACTTACATTGTATCACAGTTTACCAGGCAAACCTAGACGTCCTTGCATTTAACACATTTCTCAGATAAAACCACATTAAAAGATTAAAGTACTGGATTCTACTTTTCAGCTGTGAAAGGTTCCTACTCAGTCTCGCTTCCCATCAAACGTGGATGCTTAAATCCACTTGTAATGCTATAATGTGATGAAAAGTACAGCAACAATAGCAGAGCGGTACAATCCTAGGCTACAGCAAATAAGAACAAGCCCAGATGCAACAGCCATGGATGCAGAAACAAAGGAAGAAAAACTGCTTACCCTTGGAAGGTCTCTACTAGGTAGGGATCTCTGTCAAGATACCCTCAGCTCCACTGCCAGCCCTTAAATGAGGTCTGGGAAGGGGTGGATCCTGGCTCCAGCCCTCCCAGTCACTCAGGTACATTGCATACACCTGAGCTCCCCTGGGTTGGCTCTGCCTTCCCCCCAGGTGCTTAATCACTGGTTCAGGCTGTCACTTAGCATGCTGCACACTCCCATCCGAGAAGCTGTGCAGTGCTAACTAACCACAGGCCAGGAAGCGTACCTGCCATCCATGTGCTTCAGATGTGTCTTGCTAAGTCTCAACCATGCACAAAAGTGGGCCCCATTCCGAGTGTGGATATTGCAACAAGATGGTTTTTCTCTGTATGAACTGAGCTGGAATTTCTCCTGGATTTTTCCCAGCCTGCTGCTGAGCCCTATTTGCTCCCAGCAGACTTCGGTGCCTTGGAGATACAGCCACGGGCAACTGCTTGGACGTTTGTCTGTGTGTCAGAGAAATCAGAGTGTCTGGTATTCGCTGCTGAGGTTGTCTGTCTGCAGCACTTGCTTGCTCTCATCGCGTGGCATTGCTTCTGTTCCCTGAGCAGAGGTCTTAGTGAGTTTTCTCAGCAGGACTTTCCAGGTTTTTAGGCTTATGAATTTGTTTCCTTGAAGGCTTATGCCCACAACATCAGTACTGGGGAATGCTCTCCTTAGCAGAACTCCATCACAGGACTCTTTCCAAACTCCGCAAGGGCTCTGTGCCAACTAAAACAAACTCAAATCAAACCCAAATCCTACTCTTTCTTTTTGCAGCTCTTTCTAATGAGGAGAGGTGAAATGCATGATGTCTCCCAGGGCTGCTGATTCCTCGAGGCTCCTTCCTTCCCTCCTCAAAGGCCGGGTGCACTGAGCACAGGTGCCTGGTGCATGGGGCCGGCGTGCAGCTTTGCCGGCCTGTGACAGACAGGAAGCCTTTTACTCTAATTAGCCACTACAGAAGCTTGGCATTTCTCCTCAGAGCGGCTTCCCCACTGATCAGGAGCACGTATCTCGCTCTTCCTTCTCACCTCGCACGTCCCTGCCACCGCAGCCTCCCGCTGGGCCATGGAGGCAGGGCTGTGCAGCACGTTGCTGTGAGGAAGCGGGTGGGGGACACGCGGAGACGCAAACATGGGGTTCTGGTGTGTGCAGGGCTTTCTTCCAACTTGGCCGTGTTCACCTCCTGAGCACGGGTGGTTTCTGTCCCCTGCTCCCCTGCTTCAGCCAGGCTCACTGCGCCTTTGTCTGATTAATCACTCCAACCCGTTGCAGGGCTTCCTGGGGGCTCTTTGGCTGCCGGGTTATGAAGACCCATGAGTTCATTGTTTAAATTAAGTTCTTCTATATGGAAACACCACTGGTTTCCCATATGGTCTTGGCAAACCCACCATCCGCTCTCCACCTAAATTAAATTTCACTAATTGAATTAGTTACCATTTTATCAGCTGCCGCTTTGCAGTAGTTTGTGAACCCCCTGGGGCCCGGGCCACGCGCAGTCAAGAGCTTCCCCACCTTGCTCTCTCATTTATCATCGTGACAACACGCAGCGCTGGGAGAAGCGGGGGGGTGGAGAATGCCCTGCCCTCCCCAAGCATCCCAGCCATCTCTGAGCATCCTAATGATTGACCTCTGCTAGCAAAGCAGCCCTGCGCTGACCTCAGGCTGCTGAAAGGAAGCATTCTCGCCTTTGTACAAATCCCCCTGCGACCCTGGTCCTGAATGCAGGACTGTCAGAAGGGAAGCCTCACACGCGGGCGGCAGCACCCTGGGACCATGCAGCTTCCATATGCCAGGGGACTAATAGCGACAGAGCCAGGCTCGGGGATCACACCACCCTGGTGAGAGAGGGAGAGGGGCTACGTGGAAAGGGATGGCCTGAAATTGGTCTGCCAGCATCTGGCAGTGGAGCATGAAGCGTGTCACCTGTTCCAGCCCCTTCACAGGCACTGGGAGCTTTGCTATTGTTATACCCCATCCCCCAGCCTGGCAGGATTCTGCAGCACCACAGTGGATGGTGGGCTCCCAGCACTGCCACTAGTGCTTCTGGTGGGGTGCAGCCAGGTAAGAGTCTCTAATAGCCAAACTTAGCTGCTTCCAGGATAACCTGTCAAACGGTGACCTTATTCTCCCCTGCTGGTTTGCGATGCAGAAGACATGCCCACGAACAGAAAGAAGCCAAATTGGAGGAGGAAGCTGCTATGCCAGCCTTCAAAAGGGACAGCATCCTCCTGCCCACAGCCACCCACCTTCTTGCCTTTCCAGGGAGCATGCTTGAGAATGAAAACAAAAATCTTAAAAGTGGGGAAAAAAAAGTTAAAAAGTTAAAAAGTTAAAAAGTGAACAACGCTGAATGCGCATTTCACTGAAGCCTGGCTTACACCCAGCATATCATGTGTCCTTGATAAAATGCCATCTCCTTTCAGAAAACTCTTGAGGGTGTTGGAATATCTAGAAAAGAACAGTCTCTGCAGTACTGTCTAGACTTAATGCTCAATCAGTGGCTGATGCTTTACTTTTAGTAGTAGTGATCAATGTATGCCTCATGACTAATTTTAATATTTCTTCAAGGATGCATACACAGTAACAAATGAGTCAGAAAGGTTTTAGAACGGATTTCTTGGATAGGAAATAGGATTTCTCTGAACTGATTACTGGTTGTACACTTGAGAATAGTTTTGTAGACTTTTACCCAACTTTATGCTACGCCTCTCCTTTTTTTCTCTGTAAGCAGCCTTTAACAAAGATGTGGTGTTGATTTTCACAGCAGCTCATGACTATATTAATGAGGTTAATGAGATGATAAGCAAGAGCTGTGACAGCATGTAAAAAGTCTAGCACTCACCAAGACACTGCCAAACTAGAATTGCTGAAGTCTCAGCATTGCTTAGAGATATGGATCTCCAAAATATTGGGGGTTAATGTGGAAGAGTCCCAACTAGTGCAGGGTTCAGAGAAGCAGCTGCATCACCAGTCTGGACAGGGGGTGAAAGGAAGGAGCAGGGAGGGGAGGACCCTTGGGGAGGGGAGGTCCTGTTGTGGGGTGCTGTGTGGGAATGTCAAGGACCTGGGTCATATAGGGGACAAGGTGTGGGATGTGTACTCTGTGTGCTGCAGGGGCATTTAACTAGGCTGCCTTGCAAGACACTGTAATGAGCCAGAGATGGAGGTGGTTTGCAGATCCCTCACCTGCACCACCTTTAAGCACACAGCATTCAACAGGCTAAAGTGATACTGGCAATCTCCGGATACCTCAGATGCATTTTGCTAGGCCTTTGCTGTAATCCTGCTCTGTCCCTGTCCATGCAGAGCTGATGTTGAGCAATCCTCCAGTGTTTACTTTGCTTTTCAAATACAATGGAAATTTACTCCAAAGCTTTACCTCATCGCTGCTGGAATGCTTGTGGGCAGCAGCATTTCCAGCACCATTCTGCTTCTTCCTCTTTCTGACCCCTCCTGTACTAGAGGCAGCTGGCTTTGCAGCAGTGTTACTTTTTCCCCATTTCACTGGAACTTCTTCCCTCCAGGAAATCCAATTCACGTCTTCTGAATTTGCATGAAGCAGAACATTGGTCATAGAAACCTCCAATCTTCCATGCTTCTTTTCCACAGAGGAATCATGTGTCTTCCTGCTTGTCAGATATGGATGTTGACACCAGGAGGTTCATCCTTCTCCTGGCCTGGCTGTTGAGGACAAATACAAGCTTGCATCATCTGCAAGAGGAAGATGATTCTTTAGTATGAATTTCTTTAAGACCACACAGGCAATGCAATGTCCTGGCATTCTTTATAGTAGGCACAACAGACAGCTGCACAACAATTCTGAACAGAGTTGTATGGTTTCCTTTAGGAAAGAAGTGCTTCTGTGCTGTCTAGAGAAAGCACTGTATCCTTTTCTACTAATATCACCCATGGTTCACTTTTTGGCTCATCTTTCTCTAAGGCTATTAGAAGGGAGGCTCTGAAACTAATTTGTATTTTCCTGTGGCTGCCAAACAATTTGGGTTTAAGCATGCTGTTTTTCCAATCTATGGCTGAAGTGCATGAGTTTTAAGGTCATCTAATTGATCATGATAACTTTACATTTTGCAATAGCATGATGAATCTGAGGCTAACACTTGAGAACGGTGCATTGGGGGAGCACAGGGAGGGTGCACTCCTCTGAGCTATGGAAATCACAATGGCGGATTGGATCCAGCTCTGCTAGCTGTGCCTGGAGATGTTGTAGGAGAGTGGCAAATTACAGATGTGTCAGACATAAGCTAGAAGAGTAAAAAATCTGCAATATGAAATATGGGCTTTTGAGTTCAACAAGTGCTGTACTCGGTGAAGATGGTTATGAAGCGATTTTAGCTTTGCTGGTAAAAATCTAGATCAAAAGGAAGTAGCTGATACCAATGATTCTTTTCATTTAGTCAACAGGATTCATATACTTGGCTGGCTGAAGGTTTTAGAATTGAAAATTGGAAAAAATGTTCAATTATTAAGAAGAAGCATAGCAACCCACTTCATTTGAGCAATCTGGGGAACTACAGCGTTATTCATAGATTACATTCCTTTCAGCAACAGGAGAAAAAATCATCAATCTTTTTTTTTGAGAACAGTGCTATAGTAATTCCTATGTCCCTTTCAAGCAAAAGCAGATTATTTATGCATGTTTTGAAAATGATTCTGTGTCTGGTGACTGCAACTACAGAAGATGAGACTCAGAAGATCTCTTGTATTGCCCTGTGTTTTGTTTCATTCCTTTTGAACAAAGGTATTGGGTTGAACACTTTAGCATTTCACAAGCTAGAGTCCACAGCATCCTGGAATATGGTGAAGGCTTTTCTTTTTTTTTTCCTGGAGTTTTCTTTCTTTTTTTTTTTTTTTTTCCATACTTTTAAGAAGTACACGTCTTATGCAAAGCTGACCTGCAGAAATTCCTCTCTTCTGCTGGCTCTTCTTGGAGCACACACTCAGCACTGTACCTGAAGCAACAGAAAAGAATTGTCAAAAGTGACTACATAGTGTCTAATTAGTAAGTTCTTCAACCAGGAGAAAAAACCATTGTGTTCTCTTTCTGTGTTCCTCTGAGACTAAAACCCTGAAATTTCCCTTTTCCCTATCACCTACTAGTTTTCACTAGTTTTCACCCCGTGCTGTCTCTCCTGCCTGGCTAATGGATACAGATTTGGGGAAACACATATCCTTGCACTGAGAGAAGTATTACATGAATGGGAAAGTTCCAGGAATAGGAAATCTAGTATTACTCAATAAATATTAAATAACGAACACCCCTTTAAGCTTTAGAAGGAAAAAATGCATTCATCAATGTTTTTGGTACAAAATAATTAAGTAAAGTACAGATTATTTGAAGACGTTTGATGTCCCTCTCCAATGTGAGTACTGTATTTATTTACTGGAATGTCCAAGGCTCAAGCTGAAATGAGGGAACAAAAGAGCGGGGCTTTCCTCTGCACAGGCTATAAAGAAAAGAAGTCAAGTGTCTTTGCGTTGTGCAACACATGCTTTCTGTAACTTTAATTGGAATGTTAGCGGGGAGCGGGCGGGGGCCTCTAGATTGTGTTGGTGCAACATTGCTTTGAGAAATTCCAGTTCCTGAAGCTCTTAAGAAAAGCATTCACCATGAGGAGGGGGATGGGTTGGCGAGGAAGGCCTCTTTTTCTCAAGAATTCCCATTTGGAACACGTTACTCTTTTGCAACATGCAACGTATAAACTTTGTATAAGTGATTAGATAGAGTGCAAAAGCTAAATCTGTTTGCATTTGATTAGATTGTTTTTCTACTGACTATTTGTCTTTTTTCTTGGGAAGCAATAGTCTTTAAGAGAAAGCATGTCTCTTTCTGTAAAAATGAACTGGTTTGCAAGTGGGATGGAAGAACGATCATTTGAACTCTGAATGATACATCTGATTTTTTACCTTTCTGCCATTTTCACTTTTAAAGACAAGTTGTCAAGTCATGAGGTGATTATTTCAATCTGCTAGCTTTCTAGTGATATCCATGCTAAACAAGGCACAGACTGGGATGTAATGTTCCAGAAGAAAAAGGAAAAAAATCCCACACGTACAAAATGCAGAAGTACCTAAGCTGACAGAAAGGTGCATAGAATCAGACAGATTGGCCTCGCGTAGGGATTCCAGTATGATCTTCTGGGTCCTTCTCCTATATCTGCCTTTCAGTCTTAAGCCATAATCCTCAAATTTCCAGGTATTCTTCCCATGTGCAAAATGCTTCTTGGAGGTGTCACATCAAAATCCCACTGTCAGCTGGCTGCATAGCCATGTAGCCCCGCTGGACCTGGTCTCTCTGAGAAGCCTCTTCCCATGTAATTCAGTGAGGCTCTGGAGAGGACATGAACAAATATATTTCTCAGGATTTTATGGCTGGGGCTCTCCCAAATATATTTTTAGGAATTTTTCCTTCTTGGGTGAAAACTATGATTCACATTTTAGATAGGAATTAACTAATTGGTGATTTTTGAGATGAAATTTCTCTCAGAATAATCTGTAATCTGCCATATGATAGTAATCTGTCATAATCTGTCATGAAAAAGTCCAGCACTAGGAGGATAGCATGAGCAATATTTTAAATTCTGCACTCTCTTAAACTTGTCGTTCATCTTCATTTCCAAAATGAACCGTATGCTCATTGCTGGCTTTGCCAATATACTGAAGATGTGTGGCTTCTATGGAAAAATTAGCATTTTACCTCGATGGTAATGTTTACCTTCAGTCTCAAAAACAGTCACTGACTCACTTCTGAGCCCAGTAGAGAATCAAAATCTGTGAAGTGTGAAAAATACTGCTTTTTGATAAAATCAAGACCTCAAGAATAGAGGTCGCTTTTCCACGTGGTTCCTAGATAATGTTGTGAAAGGTTTTGTCTTCTGTCACTCAGAGGGATTTCCTCCTCCTTAGATCAAGATGGCATTTTGGGTAGCTTGAATGGCTGCCCAACAGGGCTTAATTTTGAGTTAGACATCTTTCCACCCCTCTATGTAAGGGCAAATCTTTTTCCTTCCTTATGCAGGAATAAGAATGACTCAAGGCCAATGAATGAGAAGTGATGAAATTCAGAATGCTATAGACAGAAAGATAAAATCCATGCGTGGGAGGGAGAAGGATGGATTGAGAACAAAACAAGAAAGGTCAAAGAGAAATGGGGAGGAACATTTACAGACACTTATCACTGTGCAGAAATCTCAGATGTGAGGCTGGAAGTGGAGGTTATAGATACAGTGTGGTTGGGAAGGAAGCACTCCAAATTGGATAGGGACATAGAATAATATAATATCCAGAGTTGGAAGGGAACCATAAGGATCATTGATTCCAACTCCTAGCTCCACTCAAGACCTCTCAGAAATATATTTTCCAACTGACAAGTTCTACTGAAGATTCAAATTGTTTGGCTTTAGTGACTGCTAGGAAAAAAAAATAGAGTAACTCCAATGGTTAGAAGCTGCCACAAGGTATTTGCAAGCTATATGAAATGCAGTCAGCTAAGTGGTATCTCCTGGTGTCCTTACTAATATAAGACATTGGGTGTTTTTGCACTTCTTGTCAGAGGGGACCTGGTCAGATCAGCGTGCCGTATGGAAAATACAATGCAAAGGTTAGGTGCCAGGTTGTACAGATTGTTGGAAAAGTTTTTAAGGCTTGATTCCTGCTGAAGTTTGCACAAGTGCAGGAGAATAATGTTATGTGGAGGTTTGTAAACAGTAACTAGTTAGCTGTTTGCCTAATACTGCACTGATAGATTAAGCTTGGAAGCACACTCTAAGCAACCCAAGGGCAGGCAAGGAAATGTAAGCAGAACCCAGCAACTTTCTGTTTCCCTTCTCTGCATGTTTGTGTACGGCTCATCAGAGATGTTGTATGGTCTCAGTCTTTTATATGCCTGCAGTTCAAATCACTGTAGGAGCATCTCAAAAATCCTCATCTGCAACTGCTGGCTGGAGATCAAATGGATGTAAGAGCTGGAGGGGAGTGTGGGATGGAAGAAGAAAGCTGGAATCAGCCCTTTTTGTGGAGATTTTTATGGCTGAAGATAGGACATTCTCTTGCAACACATTTGAGATGTAATGAATGGTGAACACAGAGTTAAGGAGCCCATCTAGAAGAAGCCCACAGCAACACATTTCCAGGGGATCAGATTGTTTCTTCTACACCCAAAGCAGCTTCTGCTGTTATTTTACCTCTGTAGGATTTATGCCAGCACTGACCTCTGCCATGAATGTGCCAGCCACATCCTGAAGCCACATCTCACGTGCTGAGAGAAGAGTGTGAGGTCACTTTTAGGACCCTTCAGGACAAAGGTAATCCAGCAACAGCTCAAGGAGAGGCTTGGCTGCCTTTCCAGCAGCAGTCACCTGTGAATAGTATCTTGAGATTTCCAGGAGATGGGAAAGCAATGCAGCTGCTACGTCAGCAATGCAGGGAACTTCCCTGGGATTCCCTGCAGAGTTTCATTGAAGTTCATTGATTCCCTCTCCATAGAGCATTCATCAATGCTCCTTAGCATCCTCTTTATACAAGACTGTTGTTTTTTTGGGGGGGGAAGTAAGGAAGGATTTAGAAAATGCTAGGCACTGATGCTTGACTATCCTTTTTAACCTGGATTGTAACATTTTACCTTTTATATATACATTATATATATATATAAAATTCATTTTTTTTCCGAGAGACTGGAGAATATAGCAAGAGAACACACTGCAAACCTTTAGAGCAGCTTAAACTCACACAATGGCCAAGACTCCGTGCTGTTTGTGGGAAGTATTTTCAGATACGCAAAGAGGCAAAAGTGAAACTTTTCTCTGACCTGGAATCCAGTGTTTGTTGCTTATTTCACTACTGTATTCCCATGCTAACTGGTTCCATAACCTGTGTGCTCTTGCTTGTGATTTTGGCCATAAATGGGTGGGACAGACAGGTGAAGTCAGAGATAAAATAAGGTTATTTACTGAGGCCCATTACTGTACTGGCATAGAGGAAGGATTCTTTTTATCCTCTGTCCTTGACACTGTGTTGAGAGGGGACTGACGTGGGCAGTCTAAGAGTCTAAATGGCAGTCTAAATGGGCAGGCTAAGAGTCAGGGAAATTTCACCTGGGCAGTGACAACACTTGCACACATGGAGGATGCTGCAGGGCTAATGAGATGGTGGCCAAAGCCAGGAGAGAGGAGTGTCACTCAGACTCTGTATGGAATTGTTTATTTGCAGCCTGACTCAGAACCGCTTTGAATAGACTCCAGGCTTTCTGTTGTCCTTCATTCTGCAAGCAAGCTTATATACAGGGCTGATACATTTTGGGATTAAAAATTTTAAATCTTATCTCTAGACATGAAACTGGGAAAGTAAGATTTCCTTCTGTCAGCATGTAGTAATGCAATTGAATAGATTGGAGTCGTGTTTAATTGAAAGATGAGAGAGTTCCATTATAATTTACAATTTGCATCCCTGGATATAGCATATGTGTTCCTGGCCACACAATACAGAAATGTCCAAACAGCTGCTGAGCCTGCTTCCCATCCTGACTTGACAGGTAGGACAACATCAACTAAAACAGCATCTCCTTGTTGCATTCGTGGTCACTATTAGGTACAATGTCACGACTGCATTTTTCACCTGCTCTGGGAAGAAGCGCATGCAATTTAGTAAGGAGGAATAGATCCCTGTATAGAAAGGCATTTGGAGAAGGCACATCCCAAAAGTTTCTTGGTACTCTTCACTCTCTGTGCCTTCAGAGCTCTTGTAGCAGAGGACAGAGAAAGGGCACATTTTTTCTAGAAATATTGCTGATGATCACAAGGAAAGAAACCAGGCACCTGGTGAGAAAATAACAATTCAGCTCTCAAAGGGATGCTCCCCACCTCTGCCAACATTTCCTCAGGTCCTTCTCTGCAGGTAGTTTACTCTGAGAAGCACATAAAGACTAACAGACACAACCACGCCTCTCACGGCCTGG